TGGTTCAAAAAAAAAAAAAAAAAAGAGGCATGGCGCACAGTGCGCACCTCACAGGGGTAGCGCGTCCCCATGCGCTGCGCGCACGGCGCACCTCGTGCGCACTTTCGCGCACGTGCGCGCGCAGTGTCACCGTGCGCAGTCCGCATGGCGCAGCGCACCGCATCGCGCACCGCACAAATGCGCCGCAAGTATGCTTGTGACACACAGCAACAGCTTTGAAGCATGGAACACGGGGTAGGTGTGGAGGTGTGCTGGAATCTCTATTGTGTAGGACGGCCCATCCTCGCCGCCCTTGACTTCTAGAACCGGCCACGGTCCTCTATATGCAGGCAGTAACTTCTGCGAGATGTTCTTCTCAGGCGCAAACTCTTTAGACTTGACCCAGACCAGGTCGCCTACCTGAAACTGCGATGGACGACGATGCTTATTTGCCTGTTCTATCATGCGGTGCTGGGCCTTCTTGAGGTTTTCGACAACAGTTGCTAGCTCTCTCTCGTGCTATGTCGCGAACTCCCTGGTACCGGGCGGTAGTCTGTGAATCTGATCCCGGGTAAGTCCTTCAAACGGTCTGCGGGGTCTAAAGGACTTGTGTAACTCATTGGAAGTGCGACAGGTAGACAAATGCACACTGTTATTGTATGCGCTGGCTACTTTGGGCAACATCTCGTCCCAATTGACTTGATCCGGTCTAATATACATGCGCAGAACTTGCTGCAGGATCTTGTTCATCTGTTCTGTGTGACCGTTAGTCTCTGGATGACGGCCAGATGACATCAACAACTTTGATCCATAGACTCTCATCAGTTCCTGCCAGTTCTGGCTGGTGAAGCGGGTGTCCCTATCACTAACAATAGACAACGGAACTCCGTGATCACTAATCCAATGATTAAAAAACTTCTGGATGACTAATTTTGTACGTGCCTCTGCAGGCAAAGGAACAAAAGCTGCATATTTACTGAATCCGTCAACTATGACCATGACTTGGCTCTTGCCGTGCCGACTCTTGACACCGGCATCCATAAAGTCAATGGAGATTGAATCTCCAGGTTGGTCTGGGATAGGCAAGGGTCTGAGAAAACCTAGAGGGGCACGCGTAGTAGTCTTGTTCCTCTGGCAAACTTTGCAACTGCGAACATACTCTATGCAGTTAGCTTTCATTACTGGCAAGGTATACGCACGCATCAAATTGGCTAAAGTCTTCTGCCAACCGAAGTGTCCCTCTGTGTCGTGGCATTCCCCTAGGATCAGACTACGGATTTCCTCACTGTTGGGGATGCACAAACGGTCTACTACATTAGTCTTCTCAAACAATAGTCCTTCAGTAGTGCGGTAGTCTGGTTCGGTCTCAGGGGCCTCCTTAACTCTCTTGAGGAGGTCACTATAGATAAGGTCCTGCGCGTACGCCTGTCGGACTTTCTCTTGCAGGTCCTTTCCTATGTCCATATAGTGCACTATAGCTCCAAAGTAGTCTGATCTCCTACTTAGAGCATCCGCAACTACATTGTACTTGCCTTTGACCGGTTTGAGCTCAAAGTCATACTGGTCTATCTCAGCGGCCCAGGTAGTTAAATTAGGTGTCATTTTGGCATGGGTCCTTAACCATCTAAGAGTTTCATGGTCCGAGTATACTTTGAAGTGCCTCCCAAGCAGGTAATGCTTCCAGTGCTCTAAGGCCTGCCTGAGAGCGTAGAGTTCTCTCTCATACGTCGAGGTGGCTACTTTTTCTGAAGGCATCCTCGCTGACATGAACTCTACGGGTCTGTAGCCATTGCCGTCATCTTGCTGCAACACGCCGCCTATACCATACTGACTTGCGTCCGTGGTGACGACAAATGGCAGGGACGGATCTGCTACCTTGAGGACAAGATACTCTATTAACGCGCGCTTCAATGTCTTTAGCGCAGACGTACAGTCTTTATCCCACTGCTAGATTGCCTCTTTCTTTAGCAACCTGCGCAAGGGAGCGGCGATAGTGGAGAAGTTCCTCACGAACTTCCTATAGTAGTTAGCTAGGCCTAAGAACGACCGCAATTCAGTCAGTGTGCGGGGCGTTGGTCAGTCTCTAATGGCCGCTATCTTGCTGTCCTGAGGCTTAATGCCATCTCCGTCTAACACGTGGCCCAAGTACAAGACCAGTGTCTTGGCCCACTCACACTTCTTCGGGTTGATCTTGAAGGTAGCCTTTCTTGGCTTCTCCAAGACCTGCCTCAAATGACCCTGATGCTCTTGGAGAGTCCTGCTGAATACTAATATATCATCTAAATAGACTACTACAAACTTGTCTAACCATGGTCTGAACAGATCATTCATACAACCCTGAAATGTAGCTGGCGCGTTGGTTAGTCCGAAGGGCATCACTATAAACTCATAATGCCCATATCTAGTCCGGAACGCAGTCTTGTATTGGTCATCAAGATGGACTTCAAATCTATCTTTGAGAAATACTTACAACCCTGCACCCGATCTAGGAGATCGTTTATCCTGGGCAGCGGCTCAACATTCTTCACGGTGATCGCATTCAAACCCCTATAGTCTATATGCACATACGTAACTCTCCTTCCTTCTTGGGGACGAACAAAACTGGTGCTCCAAAAGGAGATGAACTGGGCCTATTCCAACCTTTCTCAAGGAGTTCGTCTAACTGCTTGCGCAACTCCTTCAACTCTCTAGGGGACATCCTGTAGACTGCTCCCTTAGGAGTTCTACTGCCAGGCTCTATCTCTATCCTGTGCTGGATTGGTCGCGACACTACTCCCGTCGGCGACTCAGTCAAATCTTTGAATTCTTCCAGCAGCTTGGCAATGGTTGGATCTGTGGAACTCACCTCTTCCTTAGCCTCAGTGACAGGCCTCACATACACTACGAAGACCTGATCCTCTAACTGCTCCTTTTTCACCAATCGCGCGAACGCGGGATCACTGAGACAACAATGTGCCAGAGTGTTATCTACACCTGACACATGAAACAGGTGGGCAATCTTAATCTCGCCTGACGGACTAGGGAGCCTACACTCATGCTCTCTCAAGTGGAGTGTGGCCCCTGCTGCCTCTCCCCAATCCATTCCCAAAACTATATCAAAAGGAAGGTCATCCTGTACGAGGAGAGTCAGGGAATGGAGAACTTTCTCCACCTTCCCATCTTTCTCTAGACGGAAATACGCCTGGACTCCCTCTACATAGTTCTCAACTCGCATTGTGCGGTTATCTGCGAGGACACTGACTATGGGGTCTGCCAACTTTTGGACTTTTAATCCTAGCCTTAGCTTTTTCAGCGCTCTACGGCTAATGTAACTACGGGTAGCCCCTGAATCTATAAGGGCCCCTACTCTACTCCTAAACACTTCTACATCAACTAAGATTAGCTGTCCCTTACTCTCCTTCTTCATTTTGGCCCAGGCAGGCATCCTCTCCTTCAACTCTTCTGCCACGCCTGTGAGGGACGTGCCTAGAGAGACGCTAACACAAGCAGTCTCTAGACAGCTAACTAGGCACGGGCCTGCAACCTCTGCCATAGGCTCATGTGGTTTGGGAGTTACCTGTTCGCGCGCGCTCGCTTCCCCACATGGCCTGGAAGTAGGGGCAGTTGCGACCCCTACTGGCGGCTGCCTTTTGACTGCTAAGCAGCCCATCGGGCCTGTCTATACTTAGGACAAAATTTAATTACGTGGGCCGGGTCACCACAAAACACGCACTGACCCAAGTCCACACGTTCTTGCCATACGCGCTGGTCCAAGCCCAAATCCTCCCAAGGCCTGCCCTGCGGCAAGCCTGGGTGCCATCCTCCTTGAGGTGGCCTTCCACCTTGTCGCTGCGGGGACCGACAAGAACCCTGACGATTTGGCAGGGGACCTTGATCCCTACCTCCCACTTGGCGGTTCCCTTGTCCGCCAACCCCCTGTGCGCCCGGTCCTCGGCCTCCTGTGGCCTGACCCCTTTGGCCCTGGCCTCCTCCTCTACCTTGCGGCCTCCCTCCAGCCGCGACAACAGCATAGGACCTCCCCTGCCCCACGCTACTGTCCTCATCTTCGAGGCCCCACTCGATCTGACTATATGGGACCTCGTCTGTACCACCCTCCTCTAAAGTAAGGATCATATGATCCTTAGCCCTGATTTGGCCAGAGATGGTACTGCCTTTCCACTTTTTGCCCTTATCCAAGTCCTTGTGCCAGAAAGTGGAAACTGGCATGAACTTTGACTCAAACAGGACCTCCTTTCTACTTAACACATCATATGTGATGTCGGCCTGTTGAGACTTGTCAAAGAAATGCCCACGCAAGGGCTCGGGCATGGCACGATAAAATAACTGGACCAACTGGGGCTCAGTGACCCCATGGTCTGGGACGGCTACCAAGTCGTCCATGACCCCCTTGAGTGCTCTTGCACTCCTCCACTGTCGTGAGTGGATAGTTTGTAACTTGTCAGAGGCTCTAACGCCTCTCGATGGATCAACAAATCTCTCCCTCAGGAGTTTGAAGAATTGAGGAAGGGGGGTGATCTTAGAATATGCAACCAGGTTGTTTTCACAACTGGCTGCGCGCACAAGGGATCTGGCAAAGCTAGCCGCTTCGTCCTTGAGGGCCTGGAAGCCGACGAGGCCTTGCTCCTCAGTCAAGATGTGCTGTAAGTATATATAGCTATTGACACTCGCCTCCCAGTTATCGAAATTATCCTCCTTCTTCCTGCCATATGCGTCTGGGAACTTAAGCTTGACGGGCGCTTTACGAGGTCTGGCCTCGCTCTCAACAGTGGCTACCGCTTTGACACTCTCAATAACGCCCTCACAAAACTTTCCCACGTTGTCTCTCAACCGTCTAACTTCGCCCCCAACGTGGGTGACCATATCGCGCGCAAAATCTCGAAATCCTGACCGCATGGCCTTCAGGGCCACATCGTGACCCCAGCTGGCTTGGCGCTCCTCCATCCAAGCCGCACTCAACACTTCCAAGTAGCCCAGCATCTTATCCATTTTGGCAGACATGTCTGTCTGCGGCTGCACTTCCTGTCGACAATCCCTCACTTTTGCCACTTCTGCGGTCAACCTGTTAACTTCCTCCCTCCTCCTCTTCTTTTCTCTCTTCATCCTCAGTTTCCATTCCAACTTCATCTCCTCCTCTGCTTCTTGCCGTTCTAGGGGGTCCTCCATTGCTGCTAGCGCACTGGCTAAGGCATCCCTCTCATCCTGGGGCACATAAAACTCTGCCTCCTCATCTTCCCCCAACGATAAATTAGCGGTCCACTCGCTGATCTTTTTCTCCATCTCTGCATCTTCCTTCTTCGTGCCACTACTCTCCCCTTTCTCTTCCCTGCGTCTTCTCTCCTCCTCTGCTTCTGCTGCTGCTTCTTCTTCGGCAACCTTTTTCTTCTCCTCCATCTCCTCTTCTAACTTATTTATCTTCGCCGCCTGCTCCTCTGCGATTGCTTTCAGCTTCGCCTGCTTCAGGAGCTCTTTCCTCTCCCTGTTCTCTCTCGCTAAGGCGGCCATCTTCTCTTGCTGTTCCTGGGTATAGGGGCTAGTGCTCTTCCCACTCCGGGTGTCAACCATGGTGATAAGTACACAACCGGATTAGCGGTTCCAAACCTCACCACTTAGACTCTAACCCCTGACTGACAAACCTACCAACTCAATCTAATGACTCACAGAATCCGGACAGGGATCCTGCCAACTAGGGTCTCTAGCCTAGACCTACACTATGGCTGTCACTACTAGACCTGTTGCTGATCAGGAGGCATTTTAGGAGATCCCCCGTAACTCCTCAGGAATTATTTAACGTCGTAGACATGACGACGCGATCAGCAGGTCTCTCAACACTTAGACTGCCTGTTGCGCAGCCCACAACTCAGCCTTTCGGGCCTACCGTGCCACACCGAGCAGCCCGCCGGTTTGTACCGGTCCTTGGGAGGGTTAGGCCTAGGACAGTCGAGTCGTCAGACACAGTCTTTAGCCCTACTTGGCCCGGCAGGGGTTTGGTCAACAAGGCCTATCCTTCATCCACAGAGTACTATCACCTAGACAGAAGAGACTCGATGCAGAAAGAAGAGACAGACAGACTGGACTCAGCAAGTACCATAGGGTGTGTGCACATCCATAGGGCGAGGGGATGGGCTGAAGGCTTGGCGAGAATATACCGGCTCCAGCTTGGTCAAAAATGTGGTCAACGGTCTTGGTCAACGCTCGGTCAACTCCGGTCAACGCTGGTCAACTCTGGTCAACGCCTTTGGTCAACTTCCCGGCTATGGCGGCCGGCTTCACTTTCCCTCGCCAACCTTCTTCTTCCCTTCACCTTCCTCACCTCTTCCCTCTTCACCCTGACTGTCTTCTTTTTTTTGTTTTTGTTTTTTGATCGTCTCTCTCTCTTCCTCTCCTCGGCTATGGCTTCTCTCTCCCTTCTCAGTCTCCCCCTCTGTCCACTCTCTCTCCCTCCTTCGTCACTCCGTGGTCAAACTCCGCGGCTATGGCCTTCTTCTTCTTCTTCGTGGGACTGCGCAGCAACTTCGTGACAACCAAACTTGTATCGCTCATCTCTCTCTCTCTCTCTCTCTCTCTCTCTCTCTCTCTCTCTCTCTC